TTTCACCTGGAGATTATTCAATTCACCAGACATCACGGCAGCGCCGTCATAAGTTTGCCCTACCAATTTATTTTTGATATCAAAAAATTTTAATCTGTCCTTTAAAACACCAAAAATATATTCTGCCTTATAGATTTTACTCACGTCTCTAAAACCTAAAAACCTCTCATAAATATTACCACGTAACGCGTATCGAATAAAAATTGATAATTGTGAATGACATGATATATCGGTAGTTTCATCTACTTCTAGTGAAAAGCAAATGGTTTCCTGAATCTCAGATTCAATAACGTTACTCAAAATATAACTAATTGATTCTATTAACTCATTCTGGATTGTTTTAGATATACCGCTAAATGTCTTCGAATCAGAAAGTAAATTAGAAAATTCCAAATCGTATTTCTTAAACATTTTTATTAATTCTCTATAATTACCTTGATTTAGCGAATGCTCAGATTCATCGTGTCTCCTAAATGATAATTTCTGACAACTTAAAAATATTACAATATCAATTAAATGACGTAAAACTGTGTGAATATTTTTTATAATTTTGTTATGTTTAATAGGATTTTCACGTTGGGCATTATCTAATGAAACATAGATTTTTTTGTTTTCCAAATAAATCTTATTTAATCTGGCTGTATGTATGATCTTTCGAAATATCATGTTTCTGTAAAGCTCTAAATAGTTCCTTTAAATTATCGTAACCAGAGTCAAACCGTTCTAATATGAAACACACGATTAAGGATGAAATAGACTTTCGTAAGGCTTGAGAAGGAAGCAGAGACAATGAGGCTCCAAATCAACGAAAACAATACGAAATATGAGCCGCAATAACCAAAGCAAAGACTATGCTATGCTGGTGATGCAGTACTAATTGCTGATAACGAAGGTGACCGACAAAGGCAGCTCCACACCTTCAATATCACAGCAAACAAACTTAATATGAGAATATTAGTAGAAAAAACTAAATGTATAGTGATCAGTAAAGAGCCGCGTAGATGCAAACTAGAAATAGACGGCAAAATTGTAGAACAAGTAATGAAATTCAATTACCTAGGAGTAGACATCAATAGTGACAGGGATATAAGAACAGAGACCATAAGGCAAGCATCAAAAGCGGCAAGAGTAAGTGGTTGCCTCCGAGAAACCATATGTAGAAACAAATATCTGACCACAGAAAGCAAAATGAAAGTATACAAGACAACAGTAAGACCAATCCTAACATATGCAGCGGAGACAAGGACCGATACAAGAAAGACGAAACAACAAATCAACAATATCGAAATGAAAGTATTAAGATCAATAGCGGGCATATCATTAAGAGACAGACAAACCAACAGAAGTATACGCGAACAATGCAAAATTCAAAATATTAACAGGTGGATAAAAACAAGAAAAAAAAACTGGAACGAACATGTAAACCGAATGGGACCAGATAGATTAGCGAACATCTGTAAAAACAACAAGCCGTATAGCAGAAGACCCGTTGGAAGGCCGCCAAAAAGGTGGAAAGATAATGTACAGTCAACAACGACTGAAACAGAATAAGAGGCAGACAAACAGGAGTAATCCTAGTCGCACGAAGAAGTTATACTAGAACCGATATAGACAAAACTGTCCACTATCTGGTATTCCTGTAACATGTTAGTCAGTTAAATAGTGTGGAATCTATCGACCGATTATTATTTTCGTCTTAGCTTTATTTACTTTCAGACCACTTGATTGCTTTCGACAGGAGTGACGACTTCTTTCTGAGCAGGCCAGGACCCACAACGGATTGTCGAGACACTTAATGATGGGAAGTGGCTTGAGAGAATAAATAATTATTATTGTATGAGTATTGGCCATAAACACCTGAGTCATCTTTTGGCAATAGCAAAGCTATATAAAATCTATTACACGATAATAATGACTTATGATATTGGTAGAAGATTAAAAAAGAATCAGTAATAGTTTAAAATAATTGTTTGGAGCGTTGCCAAGTTCTAAATTTAGTAGCCTTTATTATACATTTGGTGTTAATTTTGTTTTTTTGGCTAAAACATTACCTTTGGCAATAAAACGATTTTTGAAACTGAGGAAAATATAAACTATTTTATTTACCTGTTGCTTTATGTTTTGTTTTATAAATTACAGTTGGCAATGAAAGCGGGTTTTGAAATTTAAGAAAAAATACAACCTACTTTGTTTTTCTAATGGTTTATATATAAACTTGACTAATTTTTATGATTTGAAATAAACATGTTCCTTATACACTTGAGTGCAAAACAATCGACTCAAAAGCGATATTTGAGATTACACCTTCTGTTTTAATGTAAGAAGTATGAAAATAACAAGATGTAATGTGCAAACAGTAACTTTATTATTGAACTTACAAAAACTGCTATTTCATTATTTGGAAGACGCATTATAAAAACAATATGCAATACGAACAGAGTTTCTCAAATATTCATCATTGGAACTATCCCAAGAAAGACGTAATAAACAGAGAAATCATCAATTACAAAATGAATTTTTTTGTTTTTTAGTATCTGATATTACCACCCCTATTCCTAATTACACTTTCCAATCGATTTCGCATGGATCGGATGACTTTTCTAATAAATTCTTGGGCATTGCTTGCCATTCATCATTAAGTGCAGCTCTCAATTCCATTATGCTCCTTGGTGCATGATTTCTGCTCCGGACCCTTCGTTTAAGCTCATCCCAAACATGCTCTATTGGATTTATGTCCAGACTCAATGCAGGCCAATTTATTGTAGGTATACCGATCTCAGTCGGATAGGTGGTGGTGACTTGTGCGATATGACATCGTGCATTATCATGCAATAAAATAAAGGCATTAATAATAAATTCCACGTATGGAACCACATGTTCCTCCAAAATATCTCTGATGTAACGATCCGCCGTCAAAACTCCTCCACGTCCTCCACCAGGCACGAAAACCAGCTCGGTTTTCCCATCCATGGAAATGCCTGCCCAAAACATACAAGAACCGCCGCCATATGACACAATTTCTCGTATACAACATTAAGCAAATCCTTCCCCCGGCCTTCTATAGACTCGACGCCTTTTGTAGTTGCCATGTAGGCAGATTCTACTTTCGTCCGAGAATAATACCTGACTCCATTGATAGTCGTCCCAATCCAGATGTTCGCGAGCAAATTCTAGTCGTCTTTGCTTCTGGGCTGCAGTTAGCTTGGGACCAGTAGCTGCCCTTTTTTGTGTCAGGTTGGCTGCTTTCAGTCTCCTTCTGACTGTCTAAACGCTGGTAATCATACCTCGGACCTCTCTAAGCTCTTCTTTGAGATTAGCACCAGTAAAATGTCGATTTCTCAGAGATTTAGATACAAGAAATCGATCATCTCTCTCTCTGTTGTTATTCGTTTACGACCTTCTCCTTGTCGGCGGACATAATCACCAGTATCTTGGTACCGACGATACACTCGGGACATAGCAGATTGGCTTAAATTTGGTCGATTTGCCACGGCTCTCTGGCTCAGGTCTTCTCTCAATAATGCTACTGCTTGAGCTGATTTGACAAATGTGGTATCCATTTGTTATGAAGTTGCGAACTTAATTGGTTGATGTATTAGTGGGTTGCTATGGAAATTGATGCTTACGATGTTAACCAAATGTGTTAAGTGGGTGCGTGTCGATTTCAATGGGTCATTCTCTACGTCTTATGACCCCCTCTCTACGTGTTGCATTATTTATTTGTAATATGTCACCCGATTTACCAAAAATCAAAACTTTTTTCAAACTCAATAATGAGGTTAATAATTGTACACTAAATATTTTTAAATTTACATCTTTTTTGATTGAAATAGGAGACGTAATTTAGCAAAATAATTTTGAGTCGATTTTTTTGCACTCAAGTGTATATCTTTAATAAATAAGGTATTATATGGAATATAATAAATAAATAATATATTCATATTTATGTCGTTCATGTAAAGGCATGACTTATATGACTAGTAAACATAAACTCTGCAAAAATAAGGGCGCATACAACAATCTTAGTAAACTACGGAACTTTCTTTTGGTTGGTCTATTGGTTCTATTTTTCTACCCAATACCTAAAGTATTGGAAAAGAAAAATCTAGTAGTGGGTGTTAAAAGATCATCTCCCTCTTCAGAAGCCCCGGAGGGAGTGTAGTGGTCATTGTGATGTCGTGTATTGTCTGTCTTCAAAGATCTCTGTTCATTTCTTTTAACTTATGTATAGGTCTTTTGCATACAGGTCCTCTAATTTGGTTGATCCATTTTGCTGGGGATCATCCTCGTGATGGCCACCCTTCTACATTTCCTTGCATAATAAATCTTTTCTTGTTTTTTGTGTACGCTCTTAACATGTCCAAAGTATTTTAATTGTTAGAGATGTATTTTGCTGGAGAGCCGTTGGCTGACTTTTAGTTTAGAATTATTTGTTCCTGGACAAGAAGTCCTGGAATCCTTTCTGCATTCCGTGGATTCCATATTTAGTCCTTCGACTTTAATGTTTGTTTATGTTGGCGCCGCTCTCTTGGGCGTAAAGTATTTCAGGATGATTCTTATTTTCCATAATACTCGGCTATGGTCGCTACCTACATCTGCTGAGTTGAGGCAGATATATTACGTCGATTATTTTCGATGGATATATATCTCTGTTGGTAACATAATCATAGATCTTTGTCCATGGGTATTATTAATTGTATATTTGTGTTGGTCTGTGTGGTCAAAAAATGTGTTGTTTATTCTTAGTTCGTTATTTGTGCAGAAGTTCTCCATTTTTGTTTTTAACATCCTCGTTATGTTTTTGCTTAATACCGGGTATTTCCAGGTATTATAAGCCAGCTGATAGAAAATAAAAAAAAAACAAATGCTCACAGAATATTCATTAATCTTAATAAAGCATATAATAGAGTTAGTGGGGACATTTTCTGGTAGACACTCAATACGAAAACAGTCTTTTTATTAAAAATTTTTCCTAGTTACACCGTTTACTTATGTTTCAGATGTCCATGGTTCCACTTCTTTTCCGTGACTGGTGGGATGAAGAAGACCTCCTTCGTCCTTCCAGACTTCTCGACCAACAATTTGGTTTAGGATTAAGAAGAGATGATCTTCTTAACTCGATCAGAGATGTACCGAGAAGATCTGCTGGATTTCCTAGATATATTAGACCATGGTCTACAAGCTCTGCTCTACAAAGACAAGATTCCGGCTCGACCATTACACATGACCATGATAAATTTCAGGTAACTATTTTGATACACAAGTTTAGACTTTTTGGATTACTACAAATTAATAAGTTTAGTTATTCTCATTCTTTTTTTAATTGCTACATACCAAATGGAGCATTGACAGTCTGTGGTGCTCGCCTTTAAGTTCTGACGACCATTTTGTGCGTCCATTGTCACTTTACTCTCCAATCTTTTTCGCAGCCTGCTTTTTGATACACTTTATTATATGAGATTCGTCTTGACAGACTATCCTTATCCATACTCACTGCTTTATCGTGCATTTAAGATATTTTTAATATATGTTTTTACTATTAGATTGTTACATTACACTATTTATTTAATTGTTAAGTTCACACTACACTGTTAATAAACAAAGTAAAGATGAAATATCTGTCAATATCTACTTGCAAAGTTTTCTTATAATGCAGGAGAAAGTCAGCTCGAATTACCAGGAAAATACTACGTTGGGTAGACAGTTAGAATCCGAAAGTATTAGGACGAAGGACAAAAGTCAGGATTTTGAGGTCAGTGGCGTTAAAGAGTGCCAACGAAATGTTTTAGTTTCTGGCTTTAATTTAAACGAAAAAATATACTTTAAAAATATTCTTTTTACCCATTTGAAAAAATATATATTTTGTTGAAATATATGAAATGTATCGTTCGACATAATTGTAGAAATACCTATTTGTGTTACCTATTTACACCTACTAGATGAAAACCATATACTCCAGTCGTCAGAGGTGAAAATACTACTGAACCTCTAAAAATCATACGAACAAGCTGAATTTTGCTGAGAATGTCAATTTTAGGACGACAAAAAAGATGCAAAAAGTGTACCAGTTTTACCTCGGGCTTTCCCCTAAAACCCCTCGTAGGGGGCTAATAACGCAAGAAAAATCGAAAAAGAATCTGTACGCTATTGAAAAAAATGTTTCAAGTAAAAAATGTAGCTGAGATAATTTTAAACAAAAATGTTCATTAGCACTTTTTGTGTAGAATGAACAGTTTTCTCACAAAAAACGCTTAAAGCGACCGTCGATTTTGAATGTCAGTTACGCGCGCGAAATCAATGTTCAATAAAATTTGTATTAGCTCGACGGTAAAAATTCGATTTCTTTTGATTCAAGTGTCCTACGACAAAAATCAAGATGCGTTTTAAAGGTAAAGGGTTAATATTTCGTATGAAGTTTGTATTTTGCCGAAATAAACTCAGATTTTATAAAGGTGTTAAATAGATAAACGTGGCGTGCTTTTTCCATTTTTACGATTCTCATGATATCAATACAACCTATCCCATTCATTGATTGGTTACCTATAGTATGAAATTTTGGTTTTGAGTTTTGGCAACAAATGTGAAATATGCTTCAAAAACGCTGGATTTAAACTTTCACATAACAAACAATCTTAAAATTTTTTTTCGAATTACACTAGTATGTTATTAAAAAGAAGCAAACTTCTGTTATCAAGTACATCCAAAACCGTCTTCTTGGAGGCATTTCTCATGACGTGCGATCGTTTGTAATGTAAAACATTAATTCTGCGTTTTTTATTAATATTCCAAGTGCCTTATATTTGTTGCCTCAAATCAAAATTGAAATTTCATGTCATAGGTTTTAAAGATTGATCTCTAGAATTAGAAATTTTACTACGACTGGTCAATGAAAGTGATCAATTATTCTATTGATCTCACGAGAATCGTAAAAACTGGCAAAAATGACGCCAAGTTTATTTATTTAACACCTCTATAAAAACTTCATTCTTTACGTTTAAAACGCATCTAGATTTTTGTCTATAGGACACTTGGATCAAAAGATATTGAATTTTTACCGTCGAGGTGATACAAATTGTATTGAATATTAATTTCGCGCGTAACTGACATTCAAAATCGATGTCCGCTTCAAGCGTTGTTTCTGAGAGAACGATTCATTCTACACAAAAACGGCTTATCAATATTTTTATTTAAAATTATCTTAGCTACAGTTTTTATTTGAAACATTTTTTTTACGGTGTACAGATTCTTGGCAAGTCGATTTTTTGCGTTTTTATCTCTCTACAAGGGGGTTTTAGAGGGAAGCCCGGGGGTAAAAGTGGTAAACTATTTTGCATCTTTTTTGGGGCCCCAAAATTAATATTCTCAGCAAAATTCAGCTCTTGTGAAAATAAGCAAAATTTAACTGTCTTCCGGACATCGCAATAGCCAGGCCTTTGGTGTTTTTCCGTTAATACATATCTATAGTATGTAACAATAAAACACTGAAAACTTTGTTTTCAAACTTCCACAAAAATTTATTTTAACTCTTATCACTACAGCTGTTTCGGCTGATTGCCTTTCTCAAGTGATCTATTTTTGGCATGCGTTTACACTTTATAGTCTCTAATGAAATAGGTTGAGGAGGGGAGAACTGTTTGTCTCAAGTTGGTCATTCAGAATTATATCTGTGTTTTTTAATTTGTTGATTTCCATAGATTCTAACAAGGATAGCTTAAGGCCTTTATTTTGAATGTGAAGAATTTTAAATTCGTCGTTAAAAGAATGATTGTGATCTAGAAGGTGAAGTGCGTATGTAGAATCTGTTTTTCTATTATTGAAAGCCCTTTTATGTTCTGCTATTCGTTTGTTAAAGTTTCTACCAGTTTGACCGATGTAAGTTTTTGGGCAGTCGCCACATTTAAGTTTGTACACACCACTGTGTAAGTGTTTTTTATTTTGGCTCTTGTTGTTTTTGATATATTTGCCTAGGTTGTTATTTGTTCGGAAAGCTGGTGTTATTCCTTTCTTTTTTATGTGTTTGGCTATTTTTGTTGTAATTTTGCCTGTATATGTAATCGAACAGAAGGTACTGGGTTTTTTCTCTGGTGGTGGAAATACTAATTTCAGGGCTTTCTTGTGTAGTTTTTGATTTAACATTTTAATAATTGAACTTTGAAAATAAGGCTATTATCGAGCACAAGTTAATTAAATCTAGCCCAAGTACTTTCGCTTAAAATAGCATCTTCAGGGGCATTTCGTCAAAATATAAACTATCCGGCAAGCGTAGAATGTGGAAACATTAATAATAACATAAAATTGTACAAAACACTACACTAAAACGAGGACAAACAGTTTAAAATTACTTTAAAGATTCTACGCTACATTCTTTGTCAGTATCTGGAGGGATAATGTATATTATCTAGAGGAGTAATATTATCCCTCCAGATACTGACAGAGAATGTAGCGTAGAATCTTTAAGTAATTTTAAACTGTTTGTCCTCGTTTTAGTGTAGTGTTTTGTACAATTTTATGTTATTTTTAATGTTTCCACATTCTACGCTTGCCGGATAGTTTACATTTTGACGAAATGCCCCTGAAGATGCTATTTTAAGCGAAAGTACTTGGGCTAGATTTAATTAACTTGTGCTCGATAATAGCCTTATTTTCAAAGTTCATTTATTCGAGCATTCAACCTCATTTCATACATTTTAATAATTGTTTGTTCATTGTATCCGTTTACTGCTATTTGCTTAATTATATTTAATTCTGTCTCAAAGTTGTATTTTGACATCGGAATTTCTGATAATCTATGTAACATACTATGATATGCTGCCAGTTTATGTTGTGTTGGATGGGATGATGAATTGTGTATAGTCGTGTCAGTATGGTAGAACATTAGGTGGTACATTTCGCAGTAGGATTGGCAAATGATTATTTAGACAATCCAGATATATGTCACCATTCACACGACCGTCAAAAAAATGTGGGCCAATCACATAATCGCCAAAAATACCACTCCAAACATTTATAGACCACCTAGTTTGACTATAAGTGTTAACAAAATAGGGATTGATTGATGCATAGTAATGAAAATTATGCCGATTCACCGTTCCATTTTTGTGAAATGTAGCCTCATCTCCAAAAACCACATAATCGAAAAAAAATCGGTCTCTTTGCACTTGCTGCTGAGACCATTGACAAAAAGCTAATCTGCGTTGATAATCATCGACTGTCAATTCTTGATGTAACTGTATGCGGTAAGGATGCAGTTTATGTTTACGAAGGATTTTTGCGCCGAAGTTTGACTAATGTCATGTTGACGTGAAATTTCACGAGTGCTGATGTGGGGATCTTCAGTAGTAGCTATCAGTACATCATATTTTTTCTTCACTTAGAACAGTTTTGGTTCTCTCATTTTTTCATATACAACTGACCCAGTGCAAACAAAACGATCCATTAATTTTTTCAAAAGTTCTTGCGTTTGCTTCCTCCGTTTGGGATATCGCTCGTTATATATTCTGACAGTGCAAACAAAACGATCGATAATTTTCTTTCCTAATACTCAGATCATATCTGTTAACTATTCTACAGAAAATTCATTTTTAACAATAAAGACAAGCCACACAGACCGATTAAAAAGGTAATAATATCAAAATTGTCATTTTCAAGGCCTACCGTTTATGGTTTAGTAATATGAAAACTGTCATTTTTTAAAACCTACTATTTTATCTTTGTAACTGACACAAATGGCCATTTAATAATTAATAACGGCGCGTTACAATCGGCAGTTAGTAGGGGAACCTGGCCTAAAATGACATACTACTTTTTTGTCGTCCAATAACTTTTTTATTTTTTTAATAAAAATTTAAAAAAACATAAATGTTGTTCATTGTTTGGAAGTAGAACAGATCATGGAACATAAAACTCTAACAACACAATATTTTTTAATTAAAAAAAGGAAACAAAATAAACGTTGCTATGTCATTTTATCCAAGTATATTCGGCTAAAACGACACACTCACATGGATAAAATGTCATATAAACTAAATTAGCAAAGTTCACAAATAAATTTTTTGCACGATTTTGAGATACCAGCACAATCACAGTGTGCCCATTTTGAGCATTTTTGGCACCTAATCCAGAATTCTTTGGACCTTGAATGGGAGTACAAACTGTTACAATATAAACATGGAGGATTATTTTCGTCTTCGTCATCATCTGACACAATGGTCTTTGTTTCCTCCTCGCGATCTTGTGTCATTAAAGTCAGATTCTTAATTGCTCGCTTTGCAGCTTGACGTTTTTCTGTAGCTCGCTTCTCGAGTGCTTTGGCTTTTTGTTCTTTCATATTTGGGGTAGCCGTTAGAACTTTTGTTCCTTCTGATTTTCTTTTTTTGGAGCGTGACTGGACACCTGAACACGATGGAAGAGGTGAAATGTCAAGTGGACGAATACCAGGATTAATTGAAGAACAACTTTCAAGTGAGTTTGGTCTAGGTGTAGAAACCGGTTTGTTTCCTTGATCTGGAAAATCTTGATGTCGCAAAACATTATCATTCTCTTCTTTTGACTCTGTTAGGGGTTGAATTGCAACTTCTTCTTGAATATCTGTTATTTTGGAAGGATTAAATAAATAATCAGGGAATATGTCGGGATTAAGGGGCCAAATTCCAGTCTTTAAAAATCCACTAACGGCATTTTGGTGTGTAGCTGCTTTTCCATACGCTGTAGCAAATAATCCTCCAACTTGGTATTGCGAAACTGTTCTGCCTGGATGACACTTCATCCACTTGGTAACTTCTTGATCATAGTAGCTCTTTAATGGACCAAAGAAACATACATCTAACGGCTGTAGACGATGGGTACAGTGCGGCGGAAAACACAATATCACTATTCCATGTTCTTTGGCAAAAGTTAAAACATTAATGTTTTTATGGCTCGCATGCCCATCAAGCAACAGCATAACCTTGTCTTCTATAGAAGGATTAGAATATTCTTTAAAATGTTTCATCCATGTTAGGAACACTTCGCCTGTCATCCATCCTGTTTCCTGTGCTATTCCTAAAGTTCCTAAAGGCGCTTCATCTATTAATTCTTTTTTCCAATTTTTCCTGGGGAATATAAGTGTTGGTGGAACATAATTCCCCACTGAGCTAATGCAAGCAACCATCGTTATGTGCTGCCCTCTTTCCGCACTTGTAATTAGGCCCACTTGCTTCCGACCCTTGGTTGCAAATATTTTGCCGGGTTTTTGAACCGTGGATAGGCCTGATTCATCCACATTCCATATGCGTGTAGGATTAATTTTGTTATTTGTAATAGTATCCTCTAAAAGTTTAAAAAAATTGGCAATTTGCGGCCTGTTGAATGATTGCGCTCTTGCTGCAGACGTGGACTCGGGTTTTCTAAGGGATATATCGGGGTGTCTAGACCGAAACCCTCGTAACCAATCCCAACCAGCCATCTTAGTGGTTGTGTTAAATCGGTGTACTATTCCATTTCGATCTGCTAACTGGTAGGCTAAAGAACGAACGTCATCACAAGATAATCCAAACAAACTTGATTCTAGGAGTTTTATGTGTGTTACGAGGTCTCTTTCTAATTCTACAGAGAACGTAGTTTCGTACCGGCCAAGACCTTTATTAGTACCTGATACCCGTTTATTCTTGTCTGATGCTCGTCTTCTTAAAGTAGCTTGGGGCACATTAAAAGTTATCGATGCTTTTAACCAGCCCATGTCTCCACACTGGACTGCCTGGATGGCTCTTTGCATTTGTACTGGATCCCAAGACTGGCGTGTACTTTTCCTTTCGTAGTGTCCCACCATACTAAAAAAGAAAAATACCATACATTAATATTCTACCTACCATATTATTATTAAAATTTATATGGGCAAAATGACATACTATGTCATTTTACCCGAGTATTTAATATGTCGTTTTACCCAAGTGTGAACAAGAACACGTTTTTTACAATAAATTTTTTGTTTAAACAAACAAAGCTTCCAAACATGATGTTTCTGTTAATATGAATAACAATACATACCTGGAACTAACAGAGATATAAAATTTTAAAGTTTTAAACGTTTTATAGCGAAGTATACGTCGCCTACCAAAATATTTTGGTACTCAATAAAGCACAAACCACCTTTTAACAAGTAAACGACTGAACTGATCGCGACGCCCGTTGGAACATCAATTATGCACCACGTGATGCTCTTGTATAAAACTTCTTAGCGCATAGCCATGTTGCCAAGTTAGAGATACACCGGATGTGTCATTTTACCCTAGTATGTCATTTTGGGCCAGGTTCCCCTAATGTTTTATTAAAAATTCCTGGCTTAGAATACTATCAATATAATAATAAAAATTGTTACATCAGTTGGGTATTGTCTTGCTTTCTGTTTTGTGTGTTATTTATTGAAAAAAAAATCTTGTTATATTAGTATACAAAACATATCTTGTAGAAAATTTTAGGAATCTTGTATTTCATTAAGGAAATACGATTTTCCATAATATCACATTTATTGATATATTCATTGCATATTGTGATTTATATTATTTGTTAGTTACTTATTGAATAAAAATAATTTTGTTATATTATCACTCAATACTCAAAACTTATTTCTTACAAAAAATAAATATATTTCCGAAATTTGAAGCAAACTAAAAATACCTCGGAAAATAATGAGTGTAGGTATAGAGAATGCTGTATACAAAATGAAGAACTATCATAAATAAAATATTTCTAAAAAACAAGATATAGGGTAATCTGTTTAAAAAAATTGAGAAAATTGTAATTTTGTTTTGTAGTTCACCATGTATACAAATTTTTGTCAGTGATTACAATAATCAAACATAATTTAAAAACTACAATATATTGTTTACTTTATTATATAAAATATAGGCAAGGAGACACTATCTCTCCTAAACTATTCACCGCCCTATTACAGAGTGCTATGAGAAAAAAATAATTGAGAAAATATTGGATTAAATATAAATGGGGAATTTTTGAACAACTTGAGGTTTGCAGACGACATAGTCCTTATTGCAGATCAGGTAGATCATGCATGCCAACTTCTTCAAGACCTTCAGAGCTCTTGTGCACGAGTTGGCCTTAAAATTAATTTTTCCAAAACACAATACATGACCAACCTGGTACTGGCAAAAAACATTTCCACTAATGGCACGCAAATTGAACAAGTGTATTCCTATAAGTATCTGGTCCACGAGATTAAATTAGGAAGAGACAATCAAACAACAGAGTTAAAAAGGAGAATAGGACTGGCATGGGCAGCTTACGGAAAACTGAGGGAAGTCTTTAAATCAGCTATTCCCATGTGCTTGAAGAGAAAAGTTTTTGATCAGTGTGTACTTCCAGTTCTGACATATGGAGCAGAAACATTGACACTTACCAGAAAAGTAATTAATAAGATACAAGTGGCACAGAGAGCGATGGAGAGGTCAATGTTGGGCGTATCACTCAGGGACAGAGTTTCGAGTCAGATAGTAAGGAGAAAAACTGGTGTGACGGACGCAGTTGAAAGAATTACAACCCTGAAATGGAACTGGGCAGGACATGTTGCTAGGGTCAGAGATGGAAGATGGACAAAGAAAATTTTAGAGTGGAGGCCTAGACACGATGCTTATCGTAGTCGAGGACGTCCTCCAACAAGGTGGTCGGACGATTTAAAGCGCATCCAGTCTAACTGGATTCAAGTTGCTCAAGATCGGATGCAATGGAATTATTTACGGGAGGCCTATGTTCAGCAGTGGACGCAAAATGGCTAATGATGATGATTATATAAAATAAACAATTGCTTATGCATTACTTCTTTATATACATGGTGTTGATTTCATAGGGATTTCGAAATACAAATGGTCGTAACTTGTTAAAAACTCTGTATAGTTATGCAAAACCCAATACTATAAGAACAAGAATTATGAGAAGATCATTCTCTCATTATCATCTCATCATTGGCATTAAATAGATACTTCTTTTTGCTACTGTAAATGCTGTTTTGCTACTTTTTTAATTTCAGTTTGTTTTTATGCTTTAGTTCTATTATTTTTTCTGAACGGTAATTCAGATCTCAGTTATTTTATTATGCCCTTCATGTATTCTCTATCCGTATATAATACATAGCATCATAAATTATTCTATTTAAATGTATCAAAGATTTTTTCTGGTAGGTACGTAATAGTACAACTTTGACGATATTTTATATCATTATACGACTTATTATCTCTAGCTATATAGAAAATAGAAGTATGTTACGTTGTTTATGTAGAATAGAATAATATTGTAAGTGTATTTCTGCAATTATGTCTAGAATTATTAATTTTTAGTGTCGTTAATAACCTAAATATATGTTTTGCACTACGATTTAAGCAGTTACGTATATAATGGATAATTTAAAATATAATAAGAAATAAAACAGAAAATACTGATAAACAAATTTCACTTCATCTGACGACCACACAAACTACATTTATATTGAATTAATTATAATTCTGTAGTTCTAACTAAAGTTTTTTCTTTTATTTTAGGTTATTTTAGACGTCCAACAATTCGCTCCTAACGAAATCACTGTAAAAACCAACGGCAACAGCATCTTGGTCGAAGGTAAACATGAAGAAAAACAAGACGAACATGGATATATAATGAGACACTTTGTCAGACGATACGTTCTTCCACAAACCCACGATGCCGAAAATGTGGTTTCTTCATTGTCTTCAGATGGTGTTTTGACAGTAAGCGCACCAAAGAAAACCGAAAAGCCTGTAGCCGCAGAAAGGGTAGTACCCATCACACAAACTGGACCCGCCAAGAGCACTGTAACACCCGTAGTAGAGTCTCCTCAACCTCAACCACAAGTGAACTAAGAGATCTTGACTAATAAGGCTGATATTTAATTTAATTTTTTATTTATTATATTCTTAAAACTAACAAAATTAAATAGTAAATTTAATATATGTGTTTATTTTTCTATCAATTTGGTTGGTCTACCCAACAGTTCTTCGGTTATCCAAAGAAATCAAGATCCATATTGATGTAGTATATTGTCAAGCTCTGGTGCTCCGAGTTATCTTCTTTTCTTTATACGAGTGATGGTATCGACACTAAATAGTACTTTTGTATAGATTAGCCGCTTTTGAATTGTGGTGTTATAGGAGAATCCTACGAATATCATGAAAATAAAGAAAGTCAAGCGTTGAATTAACCACAACGATGGGAAATAAACCAAAAATGATACTAGCCATCAGAATAGCAATATTTCGTCATTTTAGAGATAAAAAGAAAGGATAAAATACAAATCATTACAACTTATCTTTTTGCAAGGTAAGATTAAAGAAAGGCGAAATAATTGAAGACAACTAATATATTGGCTCAAAAATTTGAGGGAATATTTTGACTGCGCAAAGCTATTTAGAATAACGGCCAAAAAGGTCTTCAGTGACGCCATGGTTGCCAATCTTCGATAGAAGATGGACATAAAGAAATAGTAGGTTGGTCAAATGACTATTTCTTAATCTACCTTTGCTTAAAATGATTCATGTTGAGGCTTGAAAACTTTCTCTTCTTTCTACACAAACATCTACACATGTAATTCTATCTACCAACCGAATCTTGATTATCTTGCGATAGGTACAAAGTTTTAAAGCTATTTATTTCTTGAAATGATTTTCCTTCATCGCCTGCCACATCACAGTAAAATACTTATAAAGTGTAATATCTAAAACTTTGTGTTTTAAATCTAAAATTAAGGCATCACCCGCAGAAGAACTCTATCAAAAACAGGCGAAAATCAGATCAGATGGGTAAAATTACATTTCGATATATTTTTTTTATTTTAACACCAAACAACGTTTTCTAAGATAACTAAATTAAAGCGAAGACTTGGGTCTTTAAAAATTTGCATTTTATGAAAGAATTTAGACTCAAAATAGTAAAACATTTTAAGAAATAGGAAGCTTGCATAATTGGATTAAATAAAATATAGGTTATATTATATATCACACATTATAATAAGAAATTTCAAGAAATAAACAAAATAGTACAGTTATATTAAAAAAAAGGGTACAAGTATTAGAAAGAGAAGTTAACGTCATCCTATTTGTGTAAAACCGGCTGGGATTTTTGGAGGTTGTCAAATGTCACAGGTTATTAAAAATATAAATCATTGGCGTTGAGCATTAATTAGACGAAACCATTGATTGTATCCCACAATTGATCTGAATTTTTTGGCATAAAATTTCTTTTATATATATATTTTTTAACAATTATGCCCCAAATGTTTTCAATTGGATTTATATCTGGACTGTGCGCTTCTTCTTCTTTAAGTTCCATCTTCTATCGAAGGTTGGAAATCATCATGGCTAGCGGACTCTGTTGACTGCCGCTCTAAAAAGTTCTGCACTACTGCATTCAAACCATTCCCTTAAGTTCTTAAGCCAGGATATTCTTCGTCTTCCCACATTTCGCTTTCCTCGGATTTTGCCCTGCATAATAAGTTGCAATAATGCGTATTTTTGCCCTCTCATCACATGTCCCAAGTACTCAAGTTTTCGTGTGCACAGGCCATGGCAATACTTCCAGGTTTTGCGTTTGAAACCAATTCCTTACGGCATGGGCAGTGTGGACTGAACAATTATCTTGTTAATATATAAAAGTATTATTATGATACAATTGCTCAATAGAAGGGAGCATTACGTGTTCCAAAACGTTAATGTAATTGTCGGCAGTAAATCTTCCCTCTAATCGCCAACAAACACCAGGTCCATATATACTAATCCAACCCCATACATTTACAGAAAAAATATCGATAATAAATTGAAAGGCAGAATTTACAGAACAGTCATCTATCAATAATGGCATCACGCATAGAAACAGCAGAGATGAAAACCTTTGGAAAAATCGATAGTAAGACACTACGAGACAGTGCTAGGAGTAAAAATATACGACGGAGATGCAAGTTGGAAAACATCAAGGACTAGGTAAGAAATAGAAGAGTAGAATGGAACAATTATATCAGCCAAATAACAACAAATAGAGTAGTCAAGACGACTAGAGGCGGTTTCCCAAGAGGAAGACGATTAGTGGGAAGACCACGAAAACGATAAAATGACAACTTAATGGAGGCACATTTAAAAACACATAGTCATCTATACACAAAAGAAGAAGAAGAAGAAGAAATAAAAAAATAAACAAGCTAGAAATAAGGTCGAGAAAAAGTTAAAAGGAAAAGGAATCAAGGAATCAAATGAGACTTGGAAAAACAAACAATTAAAGAAATTAAATAATAGATAAACTAACAAGGTGTGTAACTTATAGTACTTACGTTCTCAGGTATTGGTTGGTTTTACGCTGTGTGTAATATTGACTTTAACACCGATTTCTCAATAGTTCTTTTTCTTCGTTTTTAATGTTAATCCACAAGGAAAATGAATTCCTCTGGTTGGCTGTATACCATAAATCACAAAAACTTTAATTAAAAAAAATCCTTTATAAAAGGTATATTTAAATTATATAAAAACCCTATCGGGCTACATCACAAATCGTTTTCGAAACGACTCTTCTATCATCAGTGCTATCTAGATTTACATGTTGGAGCCTGCGTGGCTTCTGGAACACATAAATGCATTGCTGGGAAGCACAAACATTTCCTGAGCCTTGGAGGACATCGAGGTTAATACTGCTTCCCAAAGCTAGGGAAAAGTATCGCCCCATCTGTCTTCTTCCATGCATCAGTAAGCTCTATGAAAGGATGCTGCGAGTACGCATAGACGACATGATTGAGAGGTCAGGTGGTTTATCTCGGAGGCAATTTGGTTTTTGTAAAGGGAAAAGCACGATTGATGCAATCATGAGTGTACTCGAAACATTGCACAACAGAGGGAATGAACATCGCTGGGCGACCCTGCTGTTGTTTGATGTTAAGAATGCATTCAATACGCTGCAGTGGAACGAGGTAATGAAGGCAATGGAGGAGAGAGAATGTCCTGGTTACCTGATGAATGTTATGGCGGAGTATCTGTCCGAGAGAAGGATTATGGTGGAAAAGGGCACGATCGTGGACGTGACGGCCGGGTACCCCAGGGATCTGTCTTGGGCCCGACGCTATGGAATCTGGCATATGACGGGGTTATGCACTGTGAATACGGAGAGGGTACAACCCCCTTCGCATTCGCGGATGACCTCGCTGTACTGGTAGTAGCCCGGGATGAGCCAGATCTCAAATACCGGGTTCGGAACGCAGGTGGCGTCGTAAAGAAATGGATGACGCAGCACGGACTAAAACTTGCGACAGAGAAAACCGAAGCCATTATTCTGAAGGGGACAAGGAACAGGCAAGGTGTTGAATTAAAATGTGCGGGAGTATGTCTAACACCCAAGACACAAGTAAAGTATCTAGGAGTGACATTGCACCAGAATGGAAAATGGGGGGAACACGTTCGGGAGGTGGTCCGAAAGGCTGCGAATAGTGCGGCTGCGTTGGGGAGAGTGATGCCGAACATTGGAGGACCCAAATCCGAAAGGAGGAGGGCCTTACACGGTGTTGTACAGTCTATCGTTCTCTACGCAGCACCAGTCTGGAGCGAGGCGGTAGAGATAACGGCCTATAGGAGTCTTATGAAACGAGTAGACAGAACAAGTCTGTTGCGAGTGGCATGCGCCTACAGGACTGTGTCTGCGGCAGCCTTATGGACCATCACTGGATGTGTTCCGTTGCATGTTTTGGCGGTGGAAAGAAAAGAGCTTTATGAGAGAAGAGGCCCAAACCTTACTGTGGCTGAGAGAAGACAGGTAAGGGAAAGGTCAGTTGAAAGATGGCAAGAAGAATGGAACAATACGGAGGATGTGGCACAGTGGACGAAAATGCTGATCCCTAACATAAGAGTTTGGGTGGACTGTGACCACAGGCGATTGGATTATTTCCTGACGCAGGTGCTCACAGGACACGGGTGTTTTAGGGCCTACCTTTATAGGATCGGTAAGGCTGATACAGATGAATGCCTATATTGTGGATACTCGGACACTGTGACACATACGATGTTAGATTGCAGCAGATGGATAGTGGAAAGGAACAGAATGGAGAGAGAGACAGGTGTGAATTTTGTTACAGTGAGAGAAATGATTGAGAGAATGATTGAAAATAAATTAGGTTGGATTAACATACACAGTTATATCCGTGCAGTGATCAAAAAAAAGGAAGAGGAAGAAAGACAGCTGGACCAACGGCAAAGGTAGAGTGAATGATGCTGAAAGGTGAAGTTAGAACAGTGGGTCACACTTTTTGAGTTAGAATGCGTGAGTTTGACTGTGGGGAAGGAGGAAATGCCCTTCTGAGAATGATGCCGAACTAGGAGTGTGGATGTGTATGAATGGAGAATGAATGAATAAAGGTAGTGCTTCGGAAGTGATGCCGGCCTTACAGCGGCCATTCCGCTTCCGGATCGCTGGATGACAGAGGAGGGTCTGGTTTAGCAGGTAGGCGTTCGGCGTAGACTCGGCGACGAGAGGGCATTTTAAAGTACCTCGGGAACTATCGCCGGGAGTACGAAGAACGAATCCTGCACTAAGGTCAGTCAGGCGGCGTCCTGGACTGAGATGTCTTTTGAAGATTCCAGACCCTCCCTCTATAAAGACGAAAAAAAAAAGATTTACATGTTTGAAGCCACTAAATACATGTAAATCTAGATAGCACTGATGATGGAATAGTCATCTCGAAAACGTTCTGGGATGTAGCCTGATAGGGTTTTTGTATTTAATAATTCTCTTCTCCTAAATAAAATTTAAAGTTATTCTCCTAAATAAATTTTTTTAAATGATTAAAACTTTAATTTTTTGATTTTAGATCACATTTTACTGTTATTTGCGCTCATATTTTTTAAAATGATCATCATTCTGCCTTTACAACCCTGCGCGGGTCCTAGCCTC